GATCTGCTAGAGCAGCACCCCTCACAATCAATACTTTAAAGACATCTGGAGGGGAACTAAGAAAGATGCAGGATTCAGTGTTTCCATCACAGTAGGAAATGTCTAAAGGTTGTTGTGTATTAACGCGAGGCAAACAGACCTGCCAGTCTTCCAGGGCTTTTCTGTTCGTAAAGAGGGATGTTGATCTCATCTCTCGTATAACAATTTGTATATGGTTTTTGCATATATTTAAGGTATTGCCTCCCTTTCTGTTTTCAGCAGAAGTTCAAAGTTCATACCATAATTTATGCCAGAAATTACTTTTTCTTTCACCTAAGTGAAGGGATTAGGGATGTTTTCACTTTATTTTTCCTTTCCACCTTTTCAACTAGTAAATAAATGTATTTGTAAGCATTTGGTTGGGGATGAAGAACACTCCTGTGATTCTGTCATGGAGGTAGGAAATGGAAAACTGGATGTATTTGCATTTATTTACACAGGATTGTTCTTTGCTGTTGTAAGCCCTGCTGCAACCTTTGGACCTTCCGGGTCATCTGCTGCAGAACTCCTCCAAGTTATTTTTGTAATGGAAAATAGAATTTTCTGTTTCTCCCAGCATATTTTTGCACTCGCGCTTCTGCATTTTCTGCTTCTCAGTGCTCCCCAGAAGAGCTCAGAAATGAAAAAACCCAAACGAACACCTTTCACCAACTATAGGCAGTTTAATAAGAAAACCAATCTTACATCCTAATGCCTTGTTAATGTATGTGCGTTGCATTAATGACTGAAAACAGTCATTATTTCCCCTACCTTTATCGCTGGCACAGACTCTGGCACTGACAGATCAGCTTTGCAATGTTGATTTAAATCCCTTCCAAAAACCCCACCAGTTCTGGCTGTGTCACCCTGAAGTTGCTGAATTAAAGACAAGATCTGTACAGTTTCAGAGGATTTGGTCTCAGCTACATGGGTCTGGTGACAGTTACTGGTACTATCAAGGTGCACACTATTGATGGGACTTTAACAAGTCATAATATGATGCTGCTTTGTATATCAAATCTCCGCTAATGCAACCTCACACAAAGTGAGCGTTTGGATATGTTATACTTCAAAGCAACGTGATGATTTAATGCCTGCAAAATTATAGCCGGTTCAATGTTGCTATCAAGAGGAATAAAATTATAACCCAAAGAGAGCTTTTAGAAGCTATTCAGCAGTATAACACTCATAAGCTGTTTTGTAGCGTGTTAAAGCACAGTTTGACGTGTGCTGGTGGTTAACCATGCACTTTCAATTACTGAACACCCCCGTCTTTGAGCCAGAAAAATGATGGAATGGTTCCTCGCAGGGGGGTGCTTTCTATTGCTGCTCAATAAAGGAAATGGATTCATTTTAGCTAAACAAAGACAAAAAGCAGGGGTGGTGGCACTGCTGCTGCAGGGGGGCAAGATGGAGTTGGATGGGAAGGCATGGAGTGACAAACGTTTGGGTCTGGTGAGATGCCTCTGTGTTCTTCTGCTTCCCTCTGCTGGAGTGTGGCAGGATTCCTGCCCATCTCCTGGCCAGGCTCTGGAGCAAATCTGAACCTCTTTTAATGGGTGCAGAGCCCATTAACTGAGCCAGTCACTTCTGCAAACTCATTTATTTATGTTTTAAAGCTTTCTGCTCTGTTTTCAGTGTTCTTTCTATAGGTCCATGTAGCACAAGTCTGTGCAACACAGATCTGGTCCGTGCAATTGTGTGGCCGCCTCTCTCTGCATGAGCATGTCTCAGCTTTGAGGCTAATGACTAATATTTTGATTTTTCCAGAGCTGATGGGGTTTAGAAGACTGTTTGCTATTCATCTTTATAGGGATGCTGCACCCATGCATGTCACTACAGGCTCTGAAAACTCTGTTGTACTGCAGGCAAATTGCAGAGCACTGGCTAGATTTCTGCCAATTTAAAGGTTTTCCAAAGGCAAATATTTAAATGTCTGTAATACTGATTTGCTCCTTTCCCATTTAATGGTATATTGCGTTCAATTCTGCACACAAAAATGGGGGGTTGTCTTCATAACAGCAAAGAATTCACATTTTAGCATGAAAATAACATGCATTTTAATAGAACATATCATTCATCACTTAACAAGTGCTTCCCCATTGCTTTCCCATTGCCACTTCTCCCTTCATAATTTTGATGGATTTTGGAAACAGAAGTGGGTTTTCCCTTTAGAGTTTCACGATTAATCTATGCCAAGTTTAGTGCAAAGTTCAGTTCTCTTGCAAATAGCAGCCACTATTTGGCAGTTCATCTGTCATATCCTGGCTTGGCTCCCTGTGTTTACTATGAAATATGACTGCCAGCAATGCTGAGGGAACTATTGAAAGTTTACATTGATTAAAAGGGGATATATGAAGACAATTTACAGGAGCTTACCTCTAACTCAGTTTACGACTAGCTGAAAAATACTAATGTCAAAGCTATTTCCTCAATAATCTGTGTAAGTCACTTATTGCATATTTAACACTGGGAAGTATTAAAACTACATTAACAACTAATAACTTAATTGCTGCTAATAATACAGGTGATTAGTACTGGCAGTGTAGTAATTATTAGTAATATAGTTATTTAAAGTGTAACCTATATGTTCAAAGGTAGTACTGTGTGTGAATAGCCCATGTTAATATAGAGAATGAGATGAAAAGGTTTTAACATCTCTGATGGATGTATAGCTATCTTTCTCTGTATGTTCTCAGACTTGCTTGCAAAATAACAATTGTTTTGTGTGCTTCAATTTACCAAAACAAAAAAAAAATCATAGGACTGAAGCAGAAAATAGGATTGATCCAACCCGATTTATTTATTCACATGCCTGGTTTTGCTTCATTGCTTTAGAATAATGCTCTTCCTGGTGTTTTGTGTTTACGTAGAGCTAAGTGCAGGAGTACATGGGCCCTTGCTTGCTGTTCTGGAGCGGGTACGATAGAGCTCTCCTTACATGTCACAACATTTTTAAGCCACAGGCACACCCCTGCTTAACTTAATGCCATGTATATTCCATTGATGGAAATGGAATTATCTGGAAGTGCTTGATACAATTTCAGTATAATACACAGGTTCCATGGATTTAGTAGACATTCATTATAATAATTTCCCATAGTTCTTTCCCCTCTGTGTCATTACTTCATAAATACCACTTATGTCAGATGTTAAACACAACTACAAAAGTCTGTTTATTCAGTATCACTCTTAGAAGCTGGGGGTCTGTCCTTCTCATCAGCAGCTGTGCTCACCAAATACTGGTTAAGTGTCTGTATTTATAAGGCAACAAGTCCCCTTATGTCTTCTAAATAAAACAATTTAAGGCAGAATTAACTTTGAAAATGGGTTCTGATTTGTCTGGAAGGCATATAGTCCGAGGCAATCCATCAGATAATCCTTCAGCAAAGCAATGTTCCCATGACCTGCACCACAAGACCCATTAGATACATCTTTAATAAATAACGAAACAGATGTTCTCCGGAGCATTGAATGTCATTCCATTTAGGTTAACTGTGTTTACAAAAGCAATATGGTTGTTACTAGTTTGCATGTCATATCTCAAGCTGCATAACCAACAGAGCTAGTGAAATAGTCTCCAATTGAATTCTTAATGTGAAGTGTTTACTTGCTCTCCTCTATACTGTATGTCTAATTTCTGGCTGTGCAGTGAAAAGCAATGCTCATAGCTTCCTCATTGCCAAAAAAAGTCACACAAAGAATACTGTCTGAAACAAGCAGAAAACCTTCACAAAGCATAATATGGCAAAATAGCAAATTCTGGAGGTAAGATTTTGCCTTCTTAGTCATATTTTTATGATAATTACTAGGAGAAGTTCCTAAATTTCTTGAGGAAGTTCTTATCCTAGAGGAATCTTTTCTGTGTGCAGAAAGAGTTGGCAGATTTTCCACTTTGTGTGACAGTCCCAATGCTTTGGATTTTTTGGAAAGCTTTTCTCAGCAGATGCAACTTGAAAAGTTACTTAATTTTTTAAGGCCATTTGATAATTCTGATATGAAGGTATATTAATATAAAATGTAAATAGAAGAAAAACCTTTTGATGTCTTGTTTTGAGGTTGTGGTTTTGTTCAAGATGTTTTAATGCAAGAAAGACCCAGCATTTCTTAATTTGCATGGTCTTTTCTGAAAAGAATGTGAGCAAGAATTGCTTTTAGTCCCCTATGAATGTTTTCTAATGAAGAAAAATGACTGCTCTTCCCAGCTCCTGATTGAGATTGTGCAGTGAGAGCTTGGACTAAAGTAGAGTTGGGGCTGAAATCGGTCATAATGGATACCAAAGTACAGCTGATGTGCCCAGGAGGACAGAGCTGTTGCACCCTGTGTTTGTGCAGTGTGCATCTCCGAGTGTTGGGAACAGGCTGTGGGAATCTGGTGTATGTGAAGTTCTGTGGCTGTGTATACATGGAATGAGGCTGCCATGGGTGAAGATACTGAAGATGTGATTTCTTCCTTTTATATAAATTTTAGCTTTCCAAAGGGGACCTCTATCACTGGAGAAAGAACAGATGTGTTTGGACATGTGGTACATATAAGTGATTTGGGTGTATTCCCTTTCACTGGTCCTAAATTAGAAACCATTTCCAAGCTGCTGGTGGCCTTAAAATGTCACTTTCAGTTGCCTTATTCAAAAATCAGATGGGAATAGCAGTCTGTAAGATACTTACTACAAATACTGGAATTTGTTCACTTTCATTTACAATAATATAGATTATAAATTGCAACATTTCAGATTGATCCCATCTTCCAGGTCCTGATTTGACAGCCACTTGACTGTATTTCTGATTAGCCCCTTGGCAGTTACTTCCCTCCTCTTCTGGTACAATTGGTGTCATCATTTCAGAATGGTGACAATGTCCAGTCAGTAAATGGGCGAATTTTAGTGAAGATGAATCACAGGACCAAGCCTGATGCAGTTCTGACATAGTCTTTCTTACAACACCAAAGCAAAGGAATCCCTTTCTGTTTTTTTCCCCTACAGGATCCCAGAAGCAAGCACAAATTTAAGATCCACACCTATGGGAGCCCGACCTTCTGTGACCATTGTGGGTCACTGCTTTATGGGCTTCTGCACCAAGGGATGAAATGTGACAGTAAGTGAAGATTTTTTGTGTTATCAAAAGGGTGTTTTAGAAAGTAAGTGGAAACAGTGGGTAACAGCTTCTCAGCTCTTTTCTGTGGAAAATACCATTTCAAATGTCAGCTATTTATAGTAATGTTACATTTCAAGTGGGTATTTCAGTACTGTAATAATACATTGATGAAAATCACCTGTGTTACTGAGAACACTGTGTATTCACTTTGATGTGGCTGAAGAGCCTTTGCCGTTCCCGTTTTGAGATAGCCTCTTTTTAGACTGGTCAGGGTGAATGTGCTGTTGAAGACTGAAATTGGAGTTCAGTTGGTAGCCAAGGTCCAATATTTCACTTTTGTTTCGTTCTTCTTGGAAGTCTCCTGCTAGAAAAATCAAATAATCAATTTAAACCTAGCTCCCATTGTTGCTGATGCTGGCACGAGTGCTCTGTTGTCTTAATTGTATTCCCAGCAAATCTTTATTCCATTTTCACTCATTTCCCTTGCGCTCCATTAAAGATACCTTTAGTTTTCTAAAGTAGATTATTTAATTCTCTGTTTCATTCGCTGTCTGCAAAGCCTAAGATGCGAACTAGCCATGTCCTTCAGTTGAAAATGTACAGCTGTAACCTGAAAGTCTTGCCAACAGTTAAGCACTGTAATCTTAACTTTCTCTTTGCTCGGTGTTTGCAGTGTAGTCATATTATTAGCTTCTCATGACTGTCTGAACTGCTTTTATATCCACAGCCTGTGATATGAACGTTCATAAGCAATGTGTAATAAACGTCCCAAGCCTCTGTGGCATGGATCACACAGAGAAACGAGGAAGGATTTATCTGAAAGCTGAAGTCAATGGTGACAAACTGGAAGTAACAGGTACACAACTTACTTGGGAATTTTGCAGATTTTTAAGTGTATAATACACAATATGGGCTTATGCACCTTTGTCACACCTCTGTGTATTAAAGCCAGTGATGGAGTATCTCCATTCAGAAGTGTGAGGATTTCATTCGACGTGGCCTTGAATCAAGAAGCTATGAACTGGTGTTCACAAAGGTAGACAAATGGAAGCTGTAGCAATAGCTTTAAAAACATAGGAATATTCATTAGAAATTAACTGGGATGTTGGTTTTCATGTAGAGAGCAGCCCAGTAGGATGGCTGCAGCTGGTCAGGAAGTTAGCCATCATCTTCAGAAGTACTCTGGGCTTTCATCAGCTGAGGAGTTGCTTCCTGCATTTCAGAGTATTTAATAAACAAAGGCAGCTTGGATTCAATCCCAAATATTACTGACAGTGAGTTATGATATGAAAAAAGAAATCGCCACATTCTGTAAAGTGAAGGTTACCCAGGTGGGAAGGAGGAAGAGAGGGGAGGAAAGAGAGGGTGGCAGTTCATTTCTCCCAGGATTTAGGAGTGAGCTTTGGTTGTGCACATCCCAGTGACCCATTCCAGCTCTGGAGTTCCAGAAGAAAGCTCTGGAAAATGTATTTTGTGAGATGAAGGATTGTTCTGTCCCCTAAAGAGACACGTGAAATGTTGTTTAACTCCAACAGGACTTCTTGTTCTGTGTCAGAAAGCGAAGTTCATTGCTCAGGGTCTGCATGAGGATTTGTATTTACAGCGTGTTACATTTGTTCTGTGTGTGCCTGCTTGTTTAGGTGGGGTCAGCTTCTAATGAATGTATCTGATACCTGAAATGTAAAGTTGGGAGTGAACTTTGTTTGATTTTACCTTTCTGTTGGACACAAATAATGCAAACAGTTTTCTTTGCCAGTCACATTGCAGTGTATTTACTCAAAGGGAGGCCACAGGGCAGGAGTTAGGATGGACAGAAGTTAAATAAGAGAGGCAATAACAACAAAATCTTCATTATTATTATTTTTTATAAGTGTAGGAGTAAGCCTGCAAAACAAATTCTAAAAGAGAAACCTGATTTTATTATGGCTCAAAATTTTAAGGACACATAAAATATGTGCTGTAGTAACTAGAACCAAAGTAAGTATGATCTTATGTAGGAAATGGACTAGAAGATGCTCATAAAACACAAATCATCAAAAGCTTTTACCTCAGGAGAGTGTGCTGGTTAGTGTGTGACCAGCACTGAAGGCCACAAACCTACATGTACACTGACACGTCTGCAAAACTGGTGCTGCAAGAGACTGAATTCAGTGTCCACACTGAAACAAGAGCAGGGTACCACTCCTGCATTTCTTCTGTGGGGAATGAGTCTCAATAGAGACCATAGCCATTGTAGCCAACAGAAAGGAAATCAGACCATCACAGTGAATTCTCAGAGCTCACAGAACCAGCACACTCCATGGCTTAGTTGTCTCTAAATCCAAACAGCTCCGCATTCTCCTGCCAGCCCTTGTAAAATGTAGAAATAGGATGCATGTTAGTTAGGGTCAGAGCAGATCCCAAATGGTACCTAATTGTAGCTTGACTTTCCTGATCGCTTCCTGTTGACGTAGGAGGGGTAAAGTTGTCCAAGGTACTGACTCTAACAGAAAGGTGGTTTCTGGAAGTAGCGAGGCATTTCATAGATGCTGATGCAGATTCTAAAAGTAATTGTACCATGATAGATGCTAATTCGAAACTCATCCACGTGACTAAATTTAGTGTTTGCATTATTTTAGGCTGCTTTGCAGCAAGGTTCTTAAATATGGCTTAAACTTCCTGCCATAATGCACATAATTTGACAAATAACACGTATTTATTTTCTGATGATTCCACAGGTTTATAGTCGGTTTAGGGGCAAAAACGTTTGTCACAAGTGTGTGGTACCAAGGCACTATAAAGCAATTACAGAAATAGGTATTCTTTCAGTTCACAGTTTTATTAGAGAAGATATTGGGTCGCATGGTTTACCCTTGGGTGCCATGGTTTAGTGTGAGGTATCCCTGCCCATGGCAGAGGGTTGGAACTGGATGATCTTAAGGTCCTTTCCAACCCTAACTATTCTATGATTCTATGTGAATGTGGTAAAATGGTTACAGGTATTTGGTAGGTTTCCTCCTGGAGCTCTTTTTGGTGCAGTTGGACTTGGCAAATGCTGTTACTTGTGTGCTTATAAATAAAGCATTTCCATCCTACAGTGAAGTAGGTTTCTGGACAACAAGAAAAACCATTTACTAGAACCTTGTTGTGTGTATAACCATTACAGTGCTCTTAAGTTCTTTTGGTTGAGGCTCGCCAGCTTTTCCAAGCTTTCAGAAAACTCCTTTAAATAAGAATGACAGTTGCCCTGAAAGGCAGATCCTTTTCTCCAACGAAAAACATATATACAGACTAAACCCACACAGGGGGAAGTTTCGGATACCTTTTGTGCATGTTTCACAGCAAATAAAATCAGTAGTTGGCAAGTAGTTCATGGACATATTCCTGTGCAAAGCATTTGAACTCCTTTTCTCCTAGTATGGGACTGCTAGAATAGGCTGTTCCCTGAGCTGCCAAGCACGACACCACTGCATTTAGCTTTGAGAAAGGAGGTGAATTAAACACCCAGGAGGGTGTATGAACAGCAGGAAAAATAATCAATGATTGGCTGTTTAGTTTGAGCCTTTGCCTGTATCTTTATCAAAGGAATTACTCTGTAGGTGTTGAAATCCTTCGGCTGAATTCCTTAATATCTGCTCTGCATCCTGTTTTGGTTGTTAATTAGCTCCTGCTGATTCAATCCTAGCCAGCCTTGATTGCATGCAAAACATTTGTGCTGCTAAATGGAGACCTGCCATTCTGGTTGGCATCTTGCAAATCACTTTGATGGGCAACTCAACCATCGCAGTCCCAGCCAGGGCACGCATCAGTGATGCAGCACCCATAACACCGCCTGCAAGATGTGCTCATTTAAGGAACACTTGCTTAATGCGTCATAATTTGGTTTCACTTCTGATTAATTGCTTTGAGGGTTTTGTGGCAGCTTTTGTTTCCAAAAAGGCCACAATAAACACACACAGAGTAAAACTGAGTGTTTTACTGATAAAATATTGGAAATAGGACTTGGTTTTTTCCTAGTGAATACTAGGGGAAAATCAAAATGGAGCACTGTCGAATGGAGCTGGCTATTGGTTCAGTCAGATTATCTGAAATACCCAAGTATTTAGGTAAGATTTGAATTGAGCTAATAGTGGGAATGATTCAGTCCTAGATGAAAACATAATGATTTCCAGTTTATAAGGGCAAATCCTCAATCTGGGTGCTTGAAGGTAGACATTCAGTCTTTTCTGTGTGAGAGTTACAGACTGCAGTGCTCTTCACAAGTATGAATTTTGTACAGGCACACTTTGCCAAACTTCATCATTCCAGGGCTAGTCAGTGTGCCTCATTCAGTGCTCATTTGTGTTGCAGTTCTTAAATAGCAGTGGTTTATTTTATAGCTGCTAGCTTGAGAGATACAGTGACTGTTAATAATTCATTGCACTTGCAGTAAATCAACATGGTGGTTCTCTTTTTATAGGAACACTCCTAAATGGCTTTTTTCTGAAATCACTGCATTCGTGACCCTTTCATGGGTTGGACTGAGTTGGGGATTTTGCTTTTAGGCAGAGTAAAGCAGTTTGGGGTATTTTTAGTCTATGCTTTTGCACTGAATTTTCTTCCTCCTCGTGTGCATTAGAAGTGTTGTCACTCTTCCATTTACTTCTTGACCCATCTGATAATTCAGAGCTCTTCCAATGAGTTGGCAGGTGGCTGAATCACAGTTTTGATTTCTCTTTTTTTAGTGAGTAAACAGTAACCTTTGTGAGAAAATAACCCCATCTGGCACTTGATGGGGATCCTAAAACTGTGACCTGGGAGCTGCTGGGAGTTGGATTTGGCAGGAGCTGACACTAAGGAGCTGGCCTCCTGACACAGGCACTGGTTTAGAGGCAGGGTGTTAGGGACTCACTGTCAGCTAATGCACCCTGCTTTTACATAAATGTTATTAAAATACATATATACACAGCCCAGAGTTTTTAGGGTTTTCAAAGTGTGTTTTCCCTAGCTGGAAGAATACAGAAGACCTGGTTTTATTCTTCACTGATGCTTCCGTTCTTTAAAAGAAGAGGAAACCTGGCAGCGACCCCGGCAGAGGTTGGGAGCACCGAACAGGCTCTCCGACAGTCATCTCCCTAGGAGTTCTGTGCTCCTCTCCATACATTTTTCACATCATTTGTGACTGCCTGGCTGCTGAGCTACCCTATGGCACTGCATGTTAATGTCCTGTCACACTGGTCACTGCAGGCAGCAGAGTGAAGAGCCTCTGCCCAAACAAGCTTGAGGGGAATTTGGGCACATTGCTGAATGCTTGTAAAGATGTTTCCTCAAAGGATCCCACACCACACACACAGACATAATTCTACTTATGATTGTCTAGGTCAGTATTAGTCTGTCTTTGTTAGCATTAATTTCATAATGTCCACAACTTTAAAAGGGAACATAGATGAATGTGCTGGCTGTTTGACCGGCTTTTAGTACCAAATACCTATAAAGTGGTCCCAAATAATGACTTGCATGAGGGAGGCATTTTTCACATCTCAAAAGTACAAATCTCATGGTTTATCTCACCAGTATCTGATCTCTTTTCTGGCATTCCCAGAACCTGCAGGGTCACTGCATTCATTACGGAAAGAGCTTTGCCTTTTACAAATGCCAACCCCGGCAGCAGCTAAAATCTTCCTGTTTCATTCATTAAATTCAATTTACCATAAAGAAATAGGCAGTGCGTAGCATTTAAAAGGAAGATTAGCATTTCAGAAATGGCCATCTGCATGCATAGAACAGATCTAACTAAAATGCTACATACTTATGTAGGAGTATAAACAGATAAGAGTTAAAATTTAATAGTCCAAATCCCTTTTCAGATGATTAGATATATCTTGTGTTAAGACTTGT